AACAACAAAAAAAGAAAGCATAAATGATTGAATTTATATCAAATTTATACTTAATCTCACAATAAAATACAATTTAAATGGCATCATTTATCAAGTCAATGTGGCTAAAATATAAAGTTCAATGTGTATGCTGTTAAGACTGTAATAATAGCTGCAAGTAATTCAGTATTTATTAATCCACAGAATATTGTGTTGATTGGTGGCAGGGGCAAGGAGCCCTGTTGTCACAGTGATTATGTGCTTGGTTTCAAGTTGAAATGTCAGTAATTTGCACGCACTAGCCACTTCTTTGGAGAAAGACATTAGAGTCTGCTACCATAAATATTCCAGCCCCGGCAATCTTATGGGGCAGTCCACGGTCGCAATGGGCCATTGCGGAGTTGGGAGTCCATTACAGGCTGGGAGCAGCGGCAGTCAAACTAGTACTCTCCTTGCAAAGGGTGACAATAATTGCGACGGACCACACTCACGGAAGGGGCTCAGCTGGCATAGTGCGTTATGCGTTGGGCCGCTAACCATAAGGACAGCAGTTTGAAATCACCAGCACTCTGTGGGAAAAGGATGAGGTTTTCTTCTCCCACAAAGAAAGCCTCAGAGACCCACAGGAGCAATTCTACTTTGCCATGGGGTTGTTATGAATAAGAATCGACTTCGTGGCCTTGGGTTTGTTTGTTTTACTCTTCTAGATGAAAATAATGTGAAATAAGTCTTTTCCACACGAACACACCCTAATCACATTCTCAGCCTGGGCCTGCTAATTAATGTGTTTTATAAAAATAAGGTGTTACTGTAAGCTTCCTGCGCTCTGTGACTCTCCTCTGTTTTACTTGCAGCAGAATTAAACTGAATTTATTTCCATCTTCAAAATATTTAAAATCTTGTGACAGATAAATGTATACTTTTGAAAAACAAAATATGTGTACATTGCAGCCAACATTTTTCCTATTAACTCTTAAGATTCTTGTTTCTAAACATGAAAAAACAGTAAGAAAAACATGTTTCAAAGGCTCATGAAAAAATATACACAAAAAACAAAACAAAAAAACACACAAAAGAAGAAAAAATATACAATTAAAATATAATGAATTTTCCCACAAACGTTTAAAGTCCCCTCATATTCCCAACGCTAAGTATCGTCAGAGACAAAAATAATTATGAATGAGATCAGGTCTTTCAGAGAAAAACCACAGAAGATCATTTTAAAACATCTAACTTTTACTTCTATGTCAACTAGTTTAATTTTTATCATAGCTCTGTTTTTAATGCAAGTGCGGTATCAGTAGCAAAATTAAAGGGTATAATTTGTAAGAACTTTGTTGCTGTTGTTACAGGTGTCGTTGGGTTGCTCTGACTCATACTGACACACGGTGTGCACCAGAACCAACGCCGCCCAGTCCTGCTTCATGCTCACAATTGTTCCTGTGGTTGAACTTGTTGTTTCAAGCATTGTGTCGATCCACCTTGTGCAGGGTCTTCCTCTTTTTTTCTGCCCCTCTACTTTACCAAGTATGATATCTTTGTCCAGGGACTAGTCTCTCCTGAAACTTACTCAGAGTATATGAGACAAAGTCTCTCCATCTTTGCCTCTAAGGCACATTCTGGCTGTACTTCTTCCAACGCAGATTTGTCTGTTCTTTGGCAGTCAATGGCAGTTTCAATATTCTTCACCGGCACCATAATGCAAGTGCATTGACTCTTCTTTAGTCTTCCTTATTCTATGTCTAACTTTCACATGCATATGCGATGATCGAAGATACCATGACTGAGTCAGGTGTACCCAAGTCTTCAAGGTAACATCCTTGCTTTTCAACACTTTAATAAATGAATATGCATATAAAAAGGAGAAAACATGACTTTAAATCTGCTTAATGACAACTAAAAGTGTAGTATACATTAAAAGTTGTAATTGAACAATTGCCATCAAGTTGTTTCTGTCACAGTGCAACCCTGTGTGGTGCACAGTAGCACAGCAACTCCATGGGCTCCTCATGGCCATAGCCTCGCAGGCACACATCTGCAAGCTTTTTCCTCGGGTGCCTCCAGGAATGTTTGAACTGCCAATCTTTCCATTAATAGCCATACACTTCATCATTTTCAGTTCATATCCATATGCTCAGTCAGGGACATTTAGTATGTAGGAGATTTAATTGATAGAATATGTTTTTTTCTTTTTTAAGATTTAGTATATTTCAGATATGTAGAAACTATTAAAAGAAACAAGCATAATGAGTTTGAGAAATTTTTATTTTATAACTAAAAAATGCAATGATCAAAATTAAAGTGAAATTTATTTACAGTCGATTACTAACAGTGGCAGTGAGAATTTCTAAACTGAAGGATATATGACCAGTAAATAATTTGCAAGAAGCAAAAAATAAAGAAAGGTAGAAAGAAAGAAGAAAAGACGGAAAAGAAGATAAACGACATGGGTGTGATAGGAATTTTCAAAACCCAATGAAATACATCACACAATACCATCAGAAGCAGATTATCAGTGCAAAATTATAAAGGGTGGAAGATTGTGAAAATACAGCTTTTATGTTAATTAATATTCTTCTTTCTAATAGGTAGCAAATATTGGCTGCTGTTTTTTCATTTAGCCCATTTTATCTTGCTATGGTTTTCATATATAATTCTGTAGGCTACAAACAATACCTGCTATTTTACAAGAAAGGAATAATGGAAGAATTTGAAAATAGAGAAATAGATAAATAAAGAAAGCATCCAAAAGGAAGAATTTCATTCACCAAAACTAATTATCCAATGAAAAATATTACTTATCTGTAATGAGACAAAATCTATGTAAAACACTATAATTAAGAAGAGTTCACATGAAACTAAGGGATAAAATTAATTTACCAGTTTTGTTACCTTTGTTATTTTACTGTACTCTCAATAACTACCATT